CGTTCTAAAGTCTACCAGTGTGATGAGCAAACCAACCAAATCTAGGAGGGATACCACTGCAGATAATTTGTTGTTCCGGTTGCATCCAAATTAATTAATTTCCAATTGCCTCCCATTGTTATGGCAAAAATTAACTGCATAATGTTGCAAGGTGAAGACGTCAAAAGCATCGGTTGTTTTAGTAGCACCAAAATTAACTGCAATTCCTTCTCATTTGTGGGACAACAATCTATATAGAAACAGGCAAGAAAACGTAATTACCATTTTTAAATCGAATAAATCAATATAAATCAGTAACATGCACACTAATGGAAAGATCTGTTGTTCCACATTAATTCTGCTTCTGCCATTTCTGAAACGTTGTTTAAAAGTTGTCTATTGAAGCAAGTTACAAATGTCTAAGAAATTGAAATTATCTAAAGATATCATTTACTATTTTTAACTAATACTGTTACATACCAGTTGATTGTCATAAATCCTTTTTTCAGCACACTGTCTCTGTTCCCAACGGAAAAAAGGCAGCTTCATGCTTTCTTTAGGACTACTTTCCCGGGCAAATGAGGACTAATACAACCAATGCTCCATAATTTTATAATTTAATGGTATCCGAAGTTCTTCTAATGTTCCTGAAAAATGAAATCTTATGAGTATTCACATGCGATTTAGCCTTCTCTAGAAAATAACATGCATGATACAATGTTAATGTTAATATCACATAAATATAATTGTGACAAATATATAATTTCGTTTTTTTCAGTAGCACCAAAGTGAACACTCTTCCACTCTTAATTTGTCGTCAATCTATAAAAATAAAGCAAGAAAATGAATATTTTACACTATTAAACAATTAAAACATGAAGTGCAATGATAATATGCAACGAAAAGTAAAATTGCAAAATTTTAAAAATGGCGTCGAAACGTCGCTTTTAATATAAAATGGCCTGATGAAGAAGATGCATAAAATTAGTAGATTAATAAAATTTTTAATGGTATTCTCTTTGAATTTTTATTTTCTATGATTTATCATGACAGAATCACCATATGTAGTGGCGCTATAAACGCCAATCGACTATGGAAAATAAAGAAGTTACATAATTCCAAAATTAGAGACTGTGGTAAATATTAATTAAAAATTAAAAGGAATACTCACCCCTAATTACCACAAATAAGTTTATTTGAGCGGACACGTGTTTCGCCCACTTCATACGTGGGCATTATCAACGAGAGAATCAATTCCAAAATACAAAGCATGCAAGATTGAAAAGTATTTTAACTGCTTGGTTTTCTCGGCTTTTTCACCGTCGATATGAAACAGATATGGCAAGATGCATAAAATTAGTGGATTAATAAAATTTTTAATGGTATTCTCTTTGAATTTTTGTTCTCTATGATTTATCATGACAGAATCAACACATGTAGTGGCGCTATAAACGCCAATTGGGTATGGAAAATAAAGAAGTTAATTCCAAAACACAAAACATGTAAGATTAAAAAGTATTTTAACTATGGTGTCTTCTCGTCTTTTCCACCGTCGATTTAAAACAAATATGGTAGTAACAGATTAATAACGAGCAATTTAAATTAATTATGTAAAGTATTCTCACCCTAATTAATTGCAGAAATTAACATTCTAAAATCTACAAGTGTTTATCACACTACATTATCAATTTATAGTAGATTACTGCCCAGTTTATTTTTCCTCCACAGATCAGAACGCTTGAGATCGTTTGTTTGAATTCGAATAAAAAGGCGGTAAGAGCAAAATCATAGACGACTCAAAATTATTTCGCGCCTGCGCAAAAGCTACGGAGTCGCGGTTTTTAGCGTCGCCTATATCCTTCATATCGGCAACCAACTGTACTGCAAAGTATTCCCATCAGTGATGTTGCAGTTCTAATTTCTTTTTTAGAAACTCCGTTTTCTTTTCATTGACGCCCAACAACAACTTGTAATATATTTTTTTACATTCAACTAGATTAACAAGGGACAAATTAATTTTAAATTCAATGAAACAGTAAAAACAACAATTCTTACCTTTCTAATGTAGTGTCGATGATTTTGAAAGAAAAATTCTGTAAAAACATCGTTGTAATGTCCTTTTCAACATTCAATAACCCAAAACACTAAGAGGCAATTAGTTCGAAGTAGGTACTTATTTAATTAATAATAAACATAAGTTTCAATTCTGCATATTTCTTGTAAGTTATTCTAAAGTTTACTACTTTTGATGAAACTCCAAACAAACAAGAAATAATATCAGCTAGCACAGTTCAGATTTTTGGATTAAAAAAAAAACAATTCAAATTAGCTTTTATAGATTTTGTGCTACAATAATATTACAATATAAAAGAGAATAGAAAAATTAAATAAAAAATATCAGTCAGAGTGTAATCAAAAAAAGTCAATTATTTTGAATACATTCACATAAAAATGATTCAGTCAGCTTACCAAATATTTGATATGATACAAAGCTGCATTATCTATTTCTACAAAAGACCAAAACGGCCAGTAAATAATAAACTATATTCAATTCTATCCCTTTTTTTGTTTTTCATTCTTTCAAAATTTAAGAATGATCAGCAGCAGATGAGACGTCTACACATTACTTAATATATACTTGATAATTTCTACATCTGTAGGCACATCTGCATAAAAAATCTCACTATTTCAACAAAATAGCAGCTTTTAATTACAGTGAACCTTCTAAAGTTGCCAATAGACATCGTACACAATCGGGGAAAACACAATGAACTTTTTATTGTCCGCATACCTACAGGCACACAACACACACACATACACACCTTACGAGGGAGGGGGTCGCTTAATTATGCCTACTTTTTTCCAACTATCAATCATTTAAGTCTCCTTTTTAATTAGCATAATGATCAAAGGAACCTAGGTACTCCAGTGCTGCCCTGTAGCAAAACTGGTACTGCTCCTGATAAAAAATTAACATTTACCTTTGGTTTAATTATTTTTAATGAAAGAAGCGGTTAATTTGCACAAGGAAATTAAAAAGGGACGTATGTGGACGACGCGGTGTTGGAAAAGTTAATAAAAATAGTATGTATTGGTATTTTTACTTACCTCCGTTTGTACCATGGCAGGCCTCTGCGTACGTAGTATTCTGGCTGTTTGGAAAACGTCTACGACTCCTTCATACTGCATCCTCTCCAAGACTATACTTAAAGTGATAAATACACCTGTTCTACCGACGCCCGCACTGCAAAATTGTTTCATTGAACAAAATCTTATGTAACAATTAAAACATGTCGACACACTCACCTGCAATGCACTGTTATTGGTCCGTCTTGCCCAAATTGTTCTTTGGTTTTATGTACCTGTCCGATAAAGTCAATAAAGCCATCTCCGCTCTTCGGGACCCCCTGTTCCGGCCAATCAGTGAATTGGAACTGTCGCACCGTCTTCGATGATCCGTCTCTCGCGTCAGTCACCTTAAATTCCCTCAGTATATACTGTGGCATGTTGTATTCGGCGATAGGATCGACGACAAAGCATTGATATCTAACTGATCGGTCACTCGGCCAATACTGATGGCATTTTTCTCGACCCATCTCTTTCAATTTAGTCAACATCACAACTATTGTAGAATTGTGTTCCCATAACATTCTCCAAAAATCATCTACGGTATCTGGGAGTGGTCCTTGTGTCGCTATATACGCCTTACGATACCTATAGCCGTCGACGAAATTGGCGTTTATGTAATCCGAACCGTCTATATTTCTAATAGGCGTCAGACACACCCTGCTACTCTCGTATGGTAAAATGTGCACTAGTCTATTCTTGTGCTTATTAGCGGGCAGATTTGCAGATGTAAACTTGGAAGAATCCACTTTTAGATTACCCAATTTTTTAAATTCGAGCCCCATTCCGGTGACGTTTTCACCCGGTTCTGGTTGCATCAGTTTTTGGATATGTGAATGCAGACTGCGGGCAGGAACTTCGGTGGCACCACACTGGACCACTTCAAGAAGTGCGTCATGTATGAATATGTACTGATCTTCTGTTTGTACCATATAATTGCGTTGTGCACGCAAACACGTCACGTGCCCATAAATATCAATTAATTTTTCGTGTTTCATGCGTTCTAGCATGGAATCTATCACAATGAAACAACCTAAAAAGTAAAAAATTAGTATGAATAGTACATAACATATATATAAAACTGATGGATACTGCTATCAAAATTAATTTTTCACCTGTACGGCCAACCCCTGCGGAACAATGCACTACAATAGGCCCGGCATCTGGATTATTTAAACTCCTCACCCTTCTCAAGAACTGTAGGAAAGGCGCAGGATGATCGGGAACGCCATGATCTGGCCAAGCTGTAAATTGTAACTGCTTGATTTCACGTCGTTCTGCGTGACCTTGCCTGTGAATTTGAAACGTTCTGATGCAGTACGTGGCCAATTCTTGCACATCAGTTACCGTCACTGTCATAGAACCGTAAGTCTCTGTGCCTCTCGCAGGCCAATACTGATCGCATTTGATTCGCGTTCGTTCCTCCAATTTGGTCATCATAACGATCGTGGACGTTTTCACTTCCCAGCACATTCTCCAAAAATCTGCGAACGTTTCTTGAAGGGGTCCTTGTGTCGCTATGTACGCATTGTGTTTCCTGTATCCGTCGCAATAATTCGCATTGATATAATCACTCCCCAATACGCTATCCTCTGGTTGAAGGATCACGCGACTGTGATCGTATGCAATTACGTTTGCATAGCGATTTTTCGGTTTGTTCACCTCCATATTCGAATGCTCCCAAGTGAACTGTTGTCCCGGCTCAATACTTTCGTACTCCTGAGAGAATTTAAGATTATCGTTCGCTTTTAATCTTTCTATATGGTTTGCCAGTTCGGAAACGGGAATGGGAGGATGCGAGATCATTGCCGGCGTTTGAAAATTTAAACGACGCATCTCAACGGGATCATTTGGTGCCGCATTACTGCTTATGTCAGCAGCTATTAAGGGACGCGTCACAGCGGTTTGGTCCGGTGTTTTGCACGGTTGTCGTCGTTTCCTGATTATAAAAAGCATCACTAAAACGATAGAAACTGTTAAAACAGCTATTAACGGCCCTATGACCCATAATACTCCGGCCTCCTTTTGTTGTGAGAGCACTTTAACATCGTTATCGGTAGGAACGTTAGGATTCGGTCGCAAAGGTGGATCTCCAGGCGGTACCTCGGGCATATCTAGAGCCAAAAATTCGGAAAATGGACTGCTAGTATATAAATGTTTCTGCGGCGTGTCTACTATGGCTCTAACAAAAATTCTGTACTGCTTTCCACGCTCCAATTTCTTATTCTTGAATCCGCCTTGTTCTTCGCCAGTTCCCAAATGAAAAGTATATGGAATATTTCGTTGAGGAAATTTGGCAGCTATGTAGGGAGCATTAGGACCTCCTTTTTGTCCTTTACCAGCGATCAAATCGTCTGTAAGAAACTGATCAGGTTGCTTGTTAATTGTGGCCTGATCCTTAGGTACTACTATAAGATAATAGTGACTTATAGGACCATATTCTTCAGAAGCTTGAGGAAGTATCACATGGATTTCTTCTCTGTTAACAACTCCATAAAAATCGGGTTTAACCATCGGCTGCGGCGCAGCCATTTGAGTGGTAACGGTAATTTTAGTCGGAGGTCGATAGGATGAATCAGGAGGTATTGCACTGACGTTTACGTTGTAGGTGGTGAAAGGGGACAAATCGTTGATGACGTGAGATCGTACTGTGTAATCCAAAAGTTTTTCCGTTTTAGGTATTATCTGAGTTTGGGTAATGCCTTGCGAATCAACAAATTCTTTTACAGCGTCAAAAGATATTTTGTAATTAACGGGATTTAATCGAATCGGTGGAGACCAGGATAAAGTCATCGAATGAGTGGTGACGTCGTGGGCTCTTAAATCAAGGGGAACATCTTCAGGTTTTACTTTAACAGTTACTTTCTCAGATAACCGTCCTAGACCTGTTTCCAGTCTTGCTGCGACTGCTATTGCATATTGGGCATATTTTTCCAAATTTATTAAATCGGCCGATTCTGTAAGACCCACCAACTTATGCTGCCACTCGTCCAAATCTTCTACTGCGGTCATCGTATAAAAAATTTGATATCCTATTACTGAACCACGCGAAATAACAGGTTCCCACCAAACTTCGACGCTCGAATCGGACGTCGCGACGGCTTTAACGCTCATCGGTGCGCGACCTATATCTCTTTCTGTTTGTATACAAATCTTTTCGCTGTACGGCCCTGCACCTTGCGACGTGTACGCCCTGATGTGAAACACATACTCTGTATTTTCGTCCAAATTAGTAAACACTGCTTTGGTATTGGTCACATTTCGCACGATTATATTACTGTGGTCGATTTTTTTATGAAACTGGAGTTCATAACGAATTATTTGGCCGTTACGATGTTCTCGGATCGGAGATTCCCAGTTAAAACATACAACGTCTGGAGTTTGGAAACGAAAAGTAATGTTCGTGGGAGGACCGGTAGGAGGACCCTCAGGCGTTCGAAGGTACTTGATAGCCTCTTGACCAGTACCTATGTGATTTTTTCCTGCTACTCTGAATTCGTACTCTACCCCTTTCTCCAAATCCTTTATCCTGTAGTTATTTACTTGAGTTCCTGAAAAAAAAAACCGGATAGCCTTACCTTCCATACAAACGTAAATTATTTACATAACAAGTATGTACAATTAGTTTACTAGGAGCAACTCAAAATATACTAAGTACCTTTGATATAATAATCTTTTAATTCTTGATCTTTTACTCCATATCTAAGCCTATAACCTTGTAATTCTCCGTAAGTCTGAGAAGGTCTACTCCACTCTAATTCAATGGTTACAGTTGGCTCTCTTTCTATTACTCTGCAAAAATAATTACATAAATATGTGTTATTGTTTCATAATTATTTTCCCGTACTTCAAAGCCAGCGAGGGTCTATTTGGTACACCGCCAGGCGTCCGCACAGTCACCGGAGGACTTCTGTCGCCGTCTCCTTTCCTCGTTAAAGCGGCAACTTGCACTGCATACCGGGTATCTGGCTGCAAACCTGTTATGTTCAGTTCGTACACTGCATCACCCAGAACATCGAAACGCATTGCTTCATTTAAAAATCCACCCTGTAATACACAAATAATATACAACATAAGTTATTGTTAGATACGAAAAATTGAAAAAATATAGATTGTATATTTTTTATTTTATATTGACTGTGAAGATTCACCAATGATACTACAAACCTCACAAAAATTTATTTTAAAACAGTACAGATATACATTTCAATAACAAAGTGGTTATCTTTGGTGTAATAAACAAAATAATGTTTCTGAAATGTACAGTGTACTGATCTTAAATCCATATTTGTGACAATTTTTTTTTCGAACACCTGCATTTGCATAAATTTCTTTTTAGAAAAAACTAATATGTATGTTCATACCTCTTCGCGGGTTTCTTGAACGTGGATGTGATACCCACGAATAATTCCATTGCGATCTTTTGCCTGAGGTGGTTGCCACGATACCTTTATAGCCGTGGAATTGATGGGCGTTGCCTTTACGTCTTGGGGATCGCCCGGAACTACACAAAATGTATATAAAGATTATTAATTGATCTTTAAGGGCCCGCTAAAGTATTCCTAACAGTAACCGAAAAACATGCAACCGAAACAAATTAATTATATACCAAACGTTTCTTATTTATTTTTAGATGAACATTTGAATACCAACACTCAAAAATACAATACATATATGTATTCCTGTAACGTTACCTCGTCCAATATATTAATATAAGTAGTAAAAAGACGAAATCCGAAGCATAAACGAGTTAATAAATAATATATTTATATAAACATATGGTAAAATAAAGCAACTATTCGTTAATTATCGTACGATCCTAAGCAACTCGTAAAATCCAGTGTGCAGCTGCGCTTATTTAGAAAAAATATTAATCATGCTGGCTGAAATACATTTATGAATATTATATTATTGTTATAAAAAAATACTCATAAAAACACGCCTGAACCTGGGGCTCGGTAGCAAAAAAATAGCACTACAAACTAATAAAAATAGTCACTACGAACAAACACATGTTCAGTAATACTCACTCTTGACAACTGCGGGACCATGTCAAGGCAAAAAAAGTTAAAAAAAATACTACTGTTATAGTTTTTTGCAGTTTGCAAAATCGCTATACAAAAATATTAAAATATCACACAAAAGAATACAAAGGATAATAGTAATCGTCACGGCTGCAAAAAAGTTGTCAAAATCCCATAAAAAATATAGCATATATAATGTAATACCCACACACATGTAGTGATTTAATTTTTTGAAAAAAGAAATTGAAAATTGTAATCAATATTGCACTTGCCTTCTGTAGTTGTTGTGAACGATATAATAAATGGCAGACCAAAAATGATAAGCATTTTGGAGAAAAAGTGTAAAGTGTTTTGTTAGTTCTGTTAAATGTAAAAATATGTTACGGGAAAAAATACACTTTCTATCTTAAAGGCAGCACAGAATAAGAAACTTCAATCCTACAACATTGTCAACGTTTAATAACAACAAAATAAATAACTTTTCGCTGATAGTAGTACGTACTAACAACATTGGAAATTAACATGCTAATTTTTCGCAATTTGCATTGGTATTCAAATGTATTATTACTATTTGTAACGTTTACTTGAACATATTAAAAAAACATGTAGTTAAATTATTAAATGCAACATAAAATCTCGTATTATTTTAAAACCAAGTTTAAACAACGTTTGTTTTAATTTTTCATAATTTTTATTAAATTATTATACTTA